TGTTTTTATAAAAACAAATAAAAAAAATAAGCAGGGCACCAGTTCAAGGGGGTAAGAGAAATAGTTTATTTACTAAAGGGTAGATATTAGGGCCGTAACAAATATATAAGAATATGCTTCTTCTAATAACAAACTTTTTGTATGTATATACACTGTAAACTAACAAAAATGGCGAACATATTAGACTATTACTAATATACGTGTGTGAAACCCTTTCTTATACTTCTCACAATAATCTAAGGTTGTCTTTTGTATAAGAGGGGGGGGGGTTTCACTTACCCGTATATAGCCGATCGAATTGGTTAGAAACTGGTAAAACCAAATGTCGGTAAATTTATTAGTTAGTTGCAAAGTAACTAATCGATTAATTTTACTATATACGCTGATTTGGATCACATCAAATCTCCCACCCACCCACGTATAATAGTTTTAATAGTTTTTAATAGTTTTTTAATGGTATTTTTAATAAGTCATGGCAAATAAAATTTATCCTACAAATAATCACAATATTCAATATTCAACATACCTTTATTTTCTATTCATATTTCTCTTCAAAATTTATATATATACTTTTACAGGTCTTCGTTTTAGTTGTGTCTTCATCTTGGTAAAAAAGTATTACTAAGACCATCTAAGTCATAATTCTCATGCAAAACCCTTATAGATTCTATTACCCTAGAAGATAATGCTGTAGAACCAGGAGATGGTTCTCTGAAGATACCACCATAATACCTATGCCTAATACAATAACTTACTTTGCTGTAATATTTTAACTCATCCGATAACTGTCAGATATTAGAGAATTTTATACCAGTATTATATATTTGGTTGCTAGCCCCATGTGCTGCACTAAAATCAGCTAAAAAATCAGCTAAATTATCAGTATCAGTACGATCAGTAGCAGCAGCAAAAGTATGATTTGCTGGAGGTACTGGAGGGCCATCACGCTCATTATTAGTCGGACGATAAGAATCCCTAATAGGATCATAATAATTATTATTATTATTATTATCCCCCGCTTGCGCAGAAGAATAAACAGTATTATCTGTATCAAAGTCAAAAGCTGCTGAATAATTAGAATGAAAATCTATTAAATAATTACTTAAATATCCATCTAGATAAAAACATACTAATATTATTAACAAAGTATAGCAAATATTGCATATTGGTAGAAGAATAGGTATGTAAGGCTCCCATAGTACAAGTTTTAATTTTAGCAGAGTTAATGTAGATTTATTTGGTAAAAATCTTATGATTGAATATCTGTTTATTTGGTTAGAAAGGACTTTTATCGGATAACTTCTTTCGAAGCCCATTAGAGTACACCTTAAACTTCTGAATGTTATAGCTCATTTATTCAGTAGTCAACTACCATCTACTCGTTGCTCTTTTACAAAATTTAAAATAAGATTTCTCCTAATACTGAATTGTACCATAGGATTACTCTTACGGTAGAATTTAAACTCTGACTTAGATCCGCGATATCCCATTTCTCTTTCGATCATCTTCTGACTTGTTACCTTACCTGAGTAATTAGTTCAGCCACATATAGCCTTTCGACTACAATTTGGTACCAGAAGCTTTAGGAGGTCCCCGGAGTTTGATAGTTTTACCCGCAATAGAGATATCCCACATCTCATAGCTGGAGAGCCATATGTAGAAATAGACAGAATCTGGCCCGTGTAAAGTAATAACTTATTTGTTATTATAACTCATTAGTAACTATTCTTTAGTAAATCTATATATATATTTATCTTATCCTGTAAGATAAATATAATTTACTAAAGGGGGAGAAATTAGGGCCGTAAGGCCCCCCCCCCAGAAATATAAGTATGAACGAAGAAATAATACATTGGATAGTTGGGAGGGGGTAGGCGTACGCCAACCCTCCATCAAAGTAAGTGTTAGTAGTAGCTATTCTGGCCTCTTCCCTCATCTCTTCAGCCTCCTCCCCTGCTGGTGCACTCTTTTATGACATCCCATATTCCTGTTACATCTATAGGAAGAATTGATTATTCCATATAGATGTTACCTCCTTAGCTGTTGGTTGACAACAGCAGTAGGAGAGGGGACTCGGATATAGCTAAGTGAAACTTAGATGTAAAAGATATAACTGAACAAGGAAAGGTATAAAATTAATTTGTTACAAAGAAATTTATCCAGATTCGGGTACAGCTAAAATTGAAAATTTTGGATGTCACAAATATAACTGAATAAGGGATGATATAAATTAACTTGTTATAATTATTTTATCCCCCGACAAGTCTGCCTGGTACCTGCGATACCAGCAGGGGAGGAGGCAGGTTCGGAAACAGCTAAGCGAGAGCTTAGATGAGAAAACTATAACTGGATAAGGGATGATTTAAAGGTTATTGTAAAATAAATTATTCTCAGCGTACGCTGTTAAAGAAACAAATGAATTATAAGTGTAAATGTTATCTGAAAAAATTATATGTGTAGTCAACCTGTGTCAGTTTTGATTATTTATATTAATAAAATTATTACTCTTACTCTCTTATAGAGAGTAAGAGTAATGTTTATTAATAGAAAGTATATGACCAGGAGGGACCCTAGGGGGAGGATGGCTATCCTCCATCTTAGTTATAGATTATCTATATTTATCTTTACCTCTACAGTTTCTTCCAGATCTTTTGATGCTTTTGGTTTCGGTATATAAGTAAAGGTACCTTTTACTACTACATATGAATATAATATGTTCTCATAACCCATAGAATCTAGTTCTTCTCTAGTTATTCTCCGAGCTGTAGAGTAATCGGGTTTTCCCATTAAGGACATAGCCGTTGGGTAAGCACTAATTAAATCATAATCATATCAAAGGGTATCTTTATCCACCCCGTACATAAAACTTTCGTTTCTACCACCTTTATAATTTGCTATATAATTACTCATATTTTTGTCCTACTTCTCCCAATACACTTAAACCTTTCGGTGTTTGTGTTACACTTACTTCTCCAATTAAATATTCTGGGTGGATTTGGTATCCTGGGTAACCATCCGATTCTCATTTTTTCTTTATATACAAAGATGCTAAACTTGCTAAACTTATAGGTATTTTATTATTCCCTAAAGTTATACTGAAATCTTCCATATAAGAACCATGGACCAACGCTATCAGGGCATCTTTTAAGGCATATTCTTTGAATCCAGCCGGGTCATCTTCTAGAAATCTTTCCATATCTTCTAATTTTTCTTTGCTAATAGAGATTTTACCCATTTCTTTTCCATATAAAGACCCAATGCTACTTAACGATTTCTTACCCCCGGGTGATAATTGTATCTCTTATATGTACGTTCACATCATCTATTTGTATAGGACTTTTTAGGGTTACCTGTTATTTACTATATCGATTTCATCTTTATAATCCTCAAAATCTGATAAAATACTTATATCTGCATTAGTTAAATGACCTATCAAATAATTGTGTTTTATCTTGGTTACGCTAACCTTTCCTGCGGTAAACGATTGATTTCTTGTTCTCGAGAACTTTGTGTATTTTTGAGTATCTAAGTC